CTTATATCTTTTATACATTTTTATGGATGTTAGTTGTATATTTAATTTTGCTTTCATAGTTTATACATAAGCGTCAGAAGATGTGCTAAGTAGCAAACCATATCAAGTGGTTTTGTCATATAATATATTGAAAATTAAAATTAATGAAATATTTATTAATATTAACTGATGTGTATAATAGACAAATTACCTACCATGGATGAGTACATTTTTTGTAAGCAGAATTTTTGTTGGACTATTTTCTGTAAAAATATTATGTTTGTATAGAAAATAAATATAACCACCAGCTTAGCAATATCCTTTTTTAAGACTAGATATTATCTAATTTCTCCAAAACACAAGCCCATTATACATTGTACACTACCTATATTATGTAATTTTCTTGTATTTTGTAAATAAATAAATAATAATGTTTTAAAGAAATATTTGAGTTACATCTCAGTTATTTCAATAAAATAGGGGTATTCTCCTATCCACGGCCTCCGTTGTTAACATTTTTAGATTTAGTCCTGTATATTTTTGTTTGAAAATAAATAAATAAACTCTTACTACACTACAGTAGAGACTAAAAATGTAAATATAATAACTGGTGTTCACGACTTTAACGCAAATACGTCGTATTATGTAGTATTCGTACAAGTTTTTGATGTTTCGGATATATACACAGTTTTAGATAATAAGGTCGGACAACTGTTCATTATCATTTATCAGCATTCCGCTTTAATTGAGCGTGCCCTACAGAAGTTTTTTGAGGTTATGGGACTATAGTATTATACAATTTTAAAAAAATGTTTGACCATTTAAACTAGCTAGTTTATTAAATACCAACTCTTTTATATTTTCGAAGAAAATGTTATAATAATATAGTCCATAAAAATAACCACGAAGGCCATATAAATAATGTTCTTAACCTCAAAATACGTCTACCGGCAGCGCAAGGTACCAACTTAGTATATTAGTATGTTAAACGCGTAGGCAATAATGTATTCTAACCACGAACTACTACTGTAACGGGCTGTGACTACGTACATATTATAATAGTAATAATATATAAAATATTATATTATATTATGCTGTATTAAGTATAATACGCTTATAATATAATATATTATATTCAATAACAGATATAAATGCTGCAAGGGGCACGTAACCCGATAATAGTAATAATATAAGCGTCCGGGCAGCCACATCGATAAGAGCACAGAACTAATTAATGGTACAGGCGTAAAGCGCGAACCTTGATAGGTATACGCGCACATTATCCATATTCTATACTAAATATTATATGACGTACGTTTTATTAGGATTGATTCTATTTTTGTTAATTATACTAGTAATACTATATTATGTAATATACCGTTATACTGATATTTTGAAAAGAACCAATACTAGGAGGACAATATCGATAGGTGAACCAATTAATGGGAGTAAATTTTATACACAACAAATGTATGAAACAATGAATAGGGATAACCCACAATCATACGAATTACAAAAACCTATAATACAAAGTAAGATAAATGAAGATAAAAACGTAATTAAGGAAAATATTATGCAAGGTAATGAAGTAACAAGTACAAGTAAAGTAAATACAGGTGTTAAGTTGCCATCAATAATAAATGGTTAAAATAGTTAATTGAATTAAAGATATATAAGTAATTAAGATGTAATTAATCTATATTTAAATAATGTAATTATAATAAAATGTTCATGTTATATATAGAAAAAACACCCACAAATTCGTAATCGTAGATTACGTAGTCTAGACCGTTTTAAAATTAGAAAACTGGAAGGAAGACCACTATTATTACCAGAAAACGATGAAGTAAGACCAATGAAGGACAAAGAAATAGTAGTGGCGCGAATGTACAGATAAATTTAAACACGCACTTATTAAAATATACTGGTCTGTAATTCCATTGGAGATTATGAAATATTTGTAATCATTAAAAATAAATTATATATAACATGTAACTTAACATTAAAATATTATTGTATCCAATGCTATAGTAATATAGTATATGTTATCGTATTAGTTATTAAGGTATAATGTGTTAAAAAAATTTTAATTATTATGTTATTATGTTAAAAAATCAGATGAAAATATAATGAAACTCTTATACTTATGTTATATAAAAAAAAAAAAAATGTTATGATATGTTATGTTGTTATAAAAAGAAATATTGTTATGTTTTGTGCTGAAAAATTATGTATTGTAAAAGAAATTATGTAAAATGAAAATCATTATGTCATGAAAAGAAATTATGTAAAATTGTCTTTATGACAATTATTAACAATTTATGTACTATGTATTTACCCAAGTAACAATTTTCAATCATTCAGATTGATAAATATTTAATTTTTATTTAATTCTTAATATTTAATTTTTAATATTATTGAGTAACTAATTAAATATTTTAAAACTAATAAATGTATTGTAAATTGTAATATACTTATAAGTTTATAAAATATTGACTTTAAAATATATTTAACTCAACTATTATTCAATATTTAACAATAATTAAAAATAAATAAATATTTATGTTAACTAATAGTTTTTTAATAAATATTTAATAAATAACGGCATATTATTCAATAATTGTATATATATTATATTATGTATGTAAATAGACAATGAAAACTTTGATGGACATGAGGATTATGCCGTAATAAACAAACGTTTACAATTAAATTTAAATGATTTAAATATCAAACATTATATAAAAAAAAAAAAATAATAATTAGAAAATTTCGTTCCAAGCAAAACATGCAGTTAAATTAATGGAGGACTTTAATAAAATAATTTAAAAAAACGAAAAACAAAATCAGTAAACCTTTTATTACAAGTTGTTGCACAAAATTGACGATAATTCCCCAACAGTTGTAGATAAGTTACACTTATGGGATGAATGTATTAATTTATATTATATTATACATTGTATAGGGTTCTGAATTTGAAATATTTGAAAATTGAAAATTTCACATTTCTTGAATTAACTATTTCAATGTGATTATGAAAAAAATTTTCTTCTTTTAAACAAATTTGGTTATAGATGATTAGAAATAATATAATATTGATTGCACGCAGAAACCATTGATAATGATTAATTAATAATATAACTATAATATCATCAGGTAGGTATGACTTATGAACCCAGGCTTATGAATTACTATAATACGTTATGGTTATGAATGAAGTTTGTAATAACTAACAACTAATAAGTATAAAATACAGTTTTTATGGTATATTCAAAATTGCCATATTGGTATTAATTGTATTATCATTTATTAATCTTATTAGAAAAACTAGAATCTTGGTTGATCTTAGGTGATTAAAAATCAACAATCATAATAGGTATACAATAAAGTATACAGTAATATAACTTATATTGTTATATTATAGGTACTTATCTTATTTATAATATTATAGCAAGTTAAAAAGTTATAAGTTATAACACTTTGAAAATATGCCATTATATTGAGTTAGCTTATTACATTTTTATTTTTCATTATACATTAAAGAAAGAAGTAAAAAAAGTTCTTATAATAGCTAGGTTACCTACTACCTAGGTACCTATTTACCTAGTCTAATGTAACATTACACTATTTTAAATTAGTAATTACAAAATGTATTTTGCAAACCAATTTTTATTAAGTAAAATGAAAAAAGTATTTGTATTTGTTCTTAAATACTTTCTAAATAATTTGTTATTTATTGTTAACAAAAATAATAAATTCAAAATTGAACAACTATTACACTATTTTCGGTGAAATACTACCATAATATTCACTATTATGATCCTGCAACTCCTGTCTATGATAACTAATATAAAGAGAAAATCCACTGCTTATAATATTATTATTTAACACTTCTACGCGCGATTTGTCCCCGTCCGCACGCGTCCCTGCACAATGACATAAAGAAACCAGTAACCACTCAACAGTATCTATACCAGCTATGCCTATGTAGGACATGTATGGCTCACTGTAAACGGTATAATAAATGAGCCGGTTACACAACTACTATATAGGCGAATATAGTTTACGTTGGAGCACTATAATAGTACTTGTAGTAGGTATCTTAGTTTACGTATGGACGTGATCTTTATACATATTATAAAGTTTATAAGCTTATACACTAATACACTATAAGTTATAACAATATAACTCTATGCCTCTAATCTCTATTTCAAAAGAGAATATACCGCTGTCCGCTATCGCGCATCGCCGATCAAAACTGTCAAGTAGGTATACACTGAATTCAAATAAATTGTACGTAAAAGATTAGCGCTAGAGCCTAGAGTACAACTAAAGTTGTACTATTTGGAACTGGCTGGTTCACAAGTTCACAACCAGCAGACGGTGGTAGCGCATCATCATCGTATTTAATATAATATCTAATTAGTAACAACTATTAACTAATCATAAGTCTAAAAAAAAGGGTGTCCGGTGTCCGGTAATTGGTGAAGAAGAAATCTTAAATATACATTATTATTGTGGGACGCACTGACGCGTAGTGATAATATCTTCTTTTATCAACCATAATTATTCGTGAACAATCTATTTTTATACTACGTACTGGTACGTCCACCTCAGTCGGATTGTCTCGTCATTAAATATTGATATTATCAATCAACAATCTAGAATTGGTAATCGGTAATCGGTATAAAACACCGTATAGTCTACTGTATCTATAATCAATGTCTATCGCCGCCATATTATTTACTCATCGTTGACCGTTGTTCGTAATTCGAATGCTGTACATTTCGGATCGTCATTTTCCTTTTTTATCGTGGTGTGCGTTACTCGTCGTTCTCGACTTTGGTTTCGCGTCCCGTTCTGTGTAAACAACACAACCACGCATCGTTTTGCAATTCTTCCGAGTCCTGTGTCGTCGGATACCGATTGTTTTTACCGTGCAGCCGTTGAAATCTCCATTGTTGAAAAGAAACTGTTATGATGAAAGCAACAACACACAGGAATCATTATTCTTACCTGCTATGATTAATTCAGATAATGACGGTAAAAAAAAATAATGTTTAATGATATTTTAAAATTTTCCAGTCCACCTTTATTTACTATTTTTATTGTCTTAATCTATATTAACTTAAATTTTGCACTTTTAAAGTATGATTAATATTTGTTTCTTATAATATATGTATATTGACCTAACATTTTGTTTGAAAAATATAATTATATATATTATAATATATTACTTTGAACCTAATCTGCATACATTTTCATTAGTACCTTTGTTTTCAGTGTTAAAAAGTACATAACATTGAAAAAAATATCTAAAATTTACGGTACCTGGTAAACTAAAAATTTACTGATTATTTAATACTGAAAAAATACTAAATACTAAAATAACTAATGTAAATCTAAAAAAAAAATAATTTTCAGACGCTGAAGGGACATCATTTTTTAACAGAAAACTTAAATTTAAAACTGATAATTCTAAAGAAAGAAGAAATAATATGGAAAATATTAGATACATAAGTCCTCGCAATAGTCCTGGTAAAGTTATACATGAATAAATAAAACAAGTCATAAGAATTTTGTACCTCATGATTAATGATTATTATTTATTAAAATTATTGTTTAATACCAGATCTATCACTGAATCACAACAGTGTCTGAAATAAGTTGTATAATAATGTTACAGATTTTTCTAATAATGAAGTTCCTTTTGATCTGGAGAAATCAACTGGAAGAAAATCATTTTCATTATGTGAAGATCATGATGCGATCGATGGTAAGTATATTGTTGGTTCCATACACTAGAATTAATTTATAGCATATGTTGTTTTTCACTTTTAGATAAAGAGTTCAAAAAACAAATCATAAGACATGTTATGTATTTCAAAGTAGAGCTGAAACATATTACAAACACACTAACAAATAATCACTATGAATTGTTAGAGAGAGTACAATCAATTGAAAAGTTTCTGGAGGATAAGCCAACTAAATTTTATGAACAAACAAATGTAGACATAAACTGTATGTCCGATTGCTCTATACCAATAGACAATTTGGTGGATTTAAACACTTTAGAGGATAAAACTTTGGGCGATCAAGAATTCAAAAAAGCTTTGGTAAGTATATTGTATTTTAAATAACTAGAAAAGTAAAACAGAATTATATTTAATTAAATTTATAGATAAATGAATTATCACATGTTGGAGGGAAAAATGTAAAAACGGCCGTGAAGAGAATCATGTCAAAACTATTTACAAATTGTTTTCTTGCGGAATATTCATTTACTGGTAAAAAGGGGAAAAAGAAATTTTGCGATTTGTTTATATTTCCAATTATTTTAAGTAAGTACATGGAAAATATAAATCAATTTATATAACACTTGTAATTTGGCCGTCCATATTACATGTTGGGCCCCTGTACTAAATGTTTGTCCCGGCACTTTTTTTCACAATATATTTAAATATCAAAATATTATTTTATAATATTAGTTAATATAAAATGTCTAAAATTACAAAATCATTTTAATCAGGCCACGGGCCCTAAAATACCTGGGCTCCTGTATTCCAGGTCCAAACTCTCCGCCCCCTCCCCCCATTTGGACCTGCTTGCAAGCTTGATACTTAATTCTTTCAAGAAAATGTTTGGTTTCTGACCATTATATTGGTTAGGTTGTAATTATCTTTTAGTAATTTTGTTCCTTTTTTTGTGTAGCTATGTATGAATAAATAAGATTAGATTGGTCAGCCACCAATTTATAATAAATTAAAATATTATTATTATTTAAATACCTATATATCAACATTCAATAGGGTAAGGCTCAAAATTACTTCTAAATTCTAGTAATCATTAGTTGAGCAGAAAATTTTTGTTAACCGATAACTACTGCTTATTATGTTATGTGCAATAATCTGTAATGTAACCACAATTAATTGGGAATACAAATACCTAGGCTGTGCCGCCAGAAGTCGTGTGTCTTTTCCAGGCGATCGAGCCCGACGCATCGTTGCGTTCGCTCGCCGCGTTTCACTGGGTTTTGGCGACCAAACCACATGTACCTACAACCAGTGCTTGATTTGGAAAAAAACTAGAAGGGGGACTCTGAGGATGTTTGATGAATGAGCGTTCTACACACAATTAACTATCACGCTACCGTGGGGGGCAATATTCTGCACTTTGTTCACGATTTATTTAAAATGGTATCAATAATTAGTCCAGTCAAGGAATGAGGTGTAGAGTGCGTGAGCAGGTAACTTAGTGATTCCTTCAGAAACTTGTTTGGGGGGCTTAGGGTATTAACATACTAAAAGTCCTGACACCTAGATGGTGAGCCGGAGGGGGGGAGGGGGTTAAAGTTGCGCTTTTTGGGTTTTTCGCTTATATCTCGTAAACGGTGCATCGGAGGAAAATTTTTTAAATAACAAAATAAAGCTCATGAAATTATCTAAAACTTTTATATCGTATGTTTTTTTCGAATTCATAACCGTTTTCGAGCTACACCTACGAAAAAAGTAGAATATTACAAAAAAAAACCATTTAGGGTGAGTGCACCAATGAATGAACACACAAGCACTATTCAATCTTCAAGTAATGATACAATAGACATTTTTGATATTCCAGGGTTTTTAAAATTTTTTTTCATTCATTGAATAATTCTGTGCAAGAATATTATAATATTTATTTTAAATTAGTTATCAATAAATATAATTAAAAATGAATAAACCCTAAAAAACAACATTTCCTAGTGAATGAACACATTAATCCTGTGAATGAACATCTAATACCCAGTGAATGAACAAACAGTATTTTTGCTGAAAATATAACTACGTTTTGAACTTTAACTCTTAAAAATAAATTTATTAGGTTAGGCAATATAAAATTGATAGTTATATACATATATCATTGTATATAGTAATATATTTCAGTTTATAAAATTCGAATAATATTCATAATACATAAAATATAGTCAATTTAACAATTTTTTTTATGGTAATTGATAATTAAAAACAAATAAGTAGACTCTTTTTTTGCTGTTACAATAAAAACATAAGATAAACACTTTAAGGTATTAATAAAGGAACTTCCTATAGTCACTATAATTAATTAAAAATATTTAAAAATTATACAACAAATATCTACCTAGGTACTTACTTTGCTAATTATCATAATCAGTTGTACCTAGTCTAGGTAACCAAGATATTAGTAAAGGAACTATTTATACTATAGGAAATGCTAATATAAACATTCAGTGAAATGTTCATGTATCTACAGTTATTCGTTTTTGAATTACAACAAAATAAGGAAATCGCTACATGAGAAATCGAGTGAATATCCAATGTTGTAAAAATTTGAATTTCAAACGCTCATAAAAATTAATTTGACTTTCTTATAGACATTTTTGTTTTGATAAAGGTAGATAATCTTATAAGGAATCTTGTATTACATTTTAAAATCTTAGATTTAAAAATTTAAATTTAAATATAATATTATTAAATATAATATGTAGTATAACATTTTTATTGCAAGAATAAATTGAAAAAAAATTAAAAACTCAATTTATGCATATATTAATTTTTTAATAAACACAAATGCCCTAATCTTGATGTTTTTTGAGGGAGGGTCATCCAAGGAAAGGGGTGGCAGAGTAAAAAATGGAAAAAACGAATATGGTAGATAATATGATAGATTGTTTTATGAATATAGTGAGGTAAAATGGTTTTTTTTTTAATATTCTACTTTTTTCGAAGGTGTAGCTCGAAAACGGTTGTGAATTCGAAAAAAACATACAATATAAAAGTTTTAGATAATCTCATGAGCTTTATTTTGTTATGTAAAAAAATTTTCCTCCGATGCACTGTTTACGAGATATAAGCGAAAAACCCAAAAAGCGCAACTTTAACCCCCTCCCCCCTCCGGCTCACCACTTAGGTGTCAGAACTTTTAGTATGTTAATACCCTAAGCCCCCCGAACAAGTTTCTGAAGGAATCGCTAAATTACCTGCTCACGCACTCTACACCTCATTTTGGGTCATTCATTGACTGGACTAAAGAAGTTATTCAAAACTATATTTTGCGATAATAAAAGTTCTGAGAATCAATTTTAAATGTAGGAATACAGAAATGTATAAAGATAATATAATATGGTGCTGATTGTGCAAAAGTTGTTCTTAATTTAGAAATATGCATATTCAAATTTTAAATTAAAAATGTAATCGCTGCTGCTGAAAATCGTTCAGTGGAAGTACTATACACTCTCACACTATAAAGAACTCTCGCATGCTAATGTTCGTAAAATTATTGTATAGAGTATATTTTTGTAACTGCCATACTAGCCGTTATTATTTTAAAGCAGATTTTCTTTGCAGATCGATGCAATAAAACCTAAGGGCAAAATATTATAATAATATACCTATGCTCTACTCCAACTCAAAACATTAATTTGTAAACTATAATGAAAATTGAACGGGTTACTTGGAATTTCTTTAAATCAATATAATATAATTTTAATGTGATTGTTAAACACTTTATAAAATATACGAATTTTATTATTGACTATATTTATTTAAAATAACATTACCGATGCACCTACGACCATACAACCATCGATATAATCGTATGTCGTACTCTCAAAAATTGTATTTTCTATCATTTTTTTAATGAGCTTTTATACTCTAAGATTACTGAAAAACACAAAAAAAATGATTCTATGTAAATGCGTTTTGTTTATGCCATGGGTTTGGCCAGAGAGAGAAAAAAAACAGTGAGCTGACATCCTCTTAACAAAAACCTCATAAAACATTTATTAATTGCCTATTATATGATTCAACATTTTGTTTTCTGTTTCACGACAATAATCCTACAAGAGACCTACGTGTTGTCCAGAATAGATAATTGTTTTCTCTACGAACAATGCATGTATTTCTATATCAAATGAACCTGTTGTGTCTACAAGATAAATTCCCGTGTTTGTCTATCACCCTTAAAGGAAATAGGTACCATTTGATCGAATACAACAGCGTATTTCGTAAACACCACACGTTCCCGTCGTCGTGAATTACAACACACGCACTTATATCGGGTTTCAGATAAGAAGGCAATAAATAAGGTGGCGACGTTTCGGAAATTTAAATTTCAAATTTCTACATCCACATCAAACCTAAGACGAGGATGAAAGATTGGTTAATATTAGGTATAGTTATATATGATTATACTATACCTATGCCCGTTTCAAATACTATTGCTCGACATCGAACGAATTATCGTTGCGTCCTTAAAAAAATGATGTCTTTATCTCGTATATTATACTGCGCACACTCAGTAATTTCCAGTTAACTTAGACGTTTTAATTAATGTGTCCGTTCTCGTTTACACTCGTTTGATCTACTTACACGGTATTGTTCATTACGACTAGGATTAATAATTATTATTTTCGCGCTCATCATCATCATCATAACGGTCTCGGAATTGAAGCCGAACCCTCCACCGCCATCGCCACCGTTGTATATTAATAACAATAATAATAATATGTATAAAAGCAGATTTATTGCACCGGGTCAATTAAATAGGATTTGATCATTTCTACGCCGTGGTACTATAAATATTAATAATGATAATATATATAGAGTAATATTATTACTAATTAATTAGTAATTAATTATTATTACTTATTATTATTATAATTCCTCTCGGATAAGTTCTATCGCTAAAATAAGCATATTATATATACGACAATACAATTGTCGTACAATTGATATTTCAGAATTGTATTTTGTATTATAGTAATAGATATCATATAATAATATCATTGCTCTATAATATCGTAAGACTTGAAGGCCGTATACCGTCATATTCCTGAAAACGGTCTCCGAAGCTTTTGTGATGGATTTACTGGTCGAGCCATTCGTTTATAATAATATAATTGCAATTTACGGGGTAAGTAGCTGCGAGATGTACTTAAGACGAATATTTGGAAATAAATACGGAAAACTATGTTTTCCAAACCATTTTTAATCGAAAGGGTAACTAATTTAGATTCAAAATTTGTATATTTTTAAATCGGCACTCGGGGAACATGGGCACGAGAAAAATAAAATACGATTTAAATTATACGATAGTTGCATTAAACGGGGTAAATATATATGCCTCCAACTATCGATGGATCTTTCCTATTTACATTTTTTTCAACCGTAAATATCGAATTTTAATTGTATTTTTACAGTTTTACAATTGATTTATGCTAGTGTAGTAGGTATATGTAGACTTGTGATATGAAAATGTAATAACATATTTACTTTTTTCGAGCAAATTTAAATACATCCAAGTCGTATTCTTATTCGTAATATAAATATTCATTTTATAATCTACAAAGTAAAAATAAGAGGATTTTGTGCTATCTTACTTAATCCAGCTTTTGAAATAATTCTAGACTGTACGATTTTTAAGTCAGTGTAATTCCATTTATATAAAAAGTAAGGAGCCACGAGTATAGTTCTTGATTGAGGATCAAAAAAATAATAACTTAACTATTATGAATTTAGCAAAGGTATGTGATCGGAAGTAATTCTGTTTTTTATTGTTGGTTTGCTAAAATATATACAACATTGAACGACTATGTTATAGAGTTATGAATATGCGTCGAAGCACGTGAAGCAATGAAATGTCAACGCGACGACGAGCAATATCATGTCTATATAATAATAATAATAATAATAATAATAATAATAATAATAATAATAATAATAATAATAATAATAATAATAGGTATATCATCAGTCATCTTACGTGCATTTTTGTTTAAAATTGGATTTTTTTTTCGTTCTCGATAGTAATAAAGATTATGAGTGCGTTCAAGGATTCCTTGTTCTTTTTTTCTAATAAAAATTCGATTCGTCTCCCTCTTTTCCATCATAATATGCTTATTTTAGAGATTGCACTTATCCGAGAGGTACGAATAATATTATTCTGTATATATTATCATTATTAATATCTGTAGTACCACGGCGTAGAAATGATCAAATCCTATAGTTATAGTCATTAAAAAAGTGTAATATCTAAAAAAAAAATTATAACGACAAATTTAAAAAAACTTTCTGTAAAATTTGACAAATGGCATGAAATTCGATTACTGATTAGTATGGTTTTTATCGATATAAGACCAATATTATAACAACAGAATACAATATTTAATAGTCTATGATTGTTTATATTATAGTGCTATACAACTGGGATGTCTATAAACGCAATCTGTTACATATATTTGTACGCGAAAATTCTACACCAGTGGGCAGTTTATACTTGCCACTTATTTAGATAACTTATTTAATTTTATACTATTATCTAACAAAAAAAAATATTATCACACGGCGGTATGGTTAGGCAATTCAGGTACACAACCACAAAGAGTCAGTTTTCCACATTTCCCGGTATTTTAAGAGGACGCCACACCACTCGTAATTCGGTTGTAAAAACTGTTTCGCGCGGGACAACTTTTCTCGCATTATAATTATAATAGAATAATCAAAATTTTACAACATATAGAGGACAATTTTATCTATGTCGTAGCGTTTTTATTATTTGGATAACATAAATACGTTTAAAGTTATAGGTTTGAGAACATTTGACTTTTTTGTATTTTTCAAATGATTGTTAAAAATTATTGGGTAGTGATATCAAAAAAATAACGACGCTACGACACAATTTTTAGCATATGGAATTATTGTAAAATAATTTTTCTAATTATTATCGAATTATTCCCTGGTGGCGTAAAACGACAAAACGCGGCTTCCCCCACTCCATTCAAGCACTCGCGTTTTTCGTCATCGGCCGGCACCGGGCAACCGCGCGACAAATTGTGACAAAAATAAACATTTCCGATAATCAGAAGTCGATGGACATACTATTATTATCTTGAATAATAATATAGACCATATCTAAACTTATTTAGGGCCCCGCCACACTACTCCGGTTTATCAAAACACATTGATTTAAATTTAACCCACCACACTATTCCTGTACGAACATGTCCGGTTATGCGTCGACCGGTCGAAACGGCACATGATGCGTTGAAAACGGAAAGGGATAGACGGATGAAATAATCAAAACACATTATTTTATATCATACTTGTCACATTGGTGAGTTTAACCGGACTGCGGTTTTCAAAAAAAAAAATTTGTGATTTTTTTAATTATTTTTTTATTGAATAAATTTATCAGTTATTATCATGTTTGGCATTGATAAAACAGATAAATTTATTCAATGTATACACAATAATAATTCGATATGGGAAATGGGCTCCAGAGAATACTCGGACAAACACCTTAAGCTCAAAAGTTGGATGAACATCGGAAGCTCTATGTATTTAGATTGGAATGAGCTGGAAAAAAATGCAAAAGATGAACGAGGTAAGGAAATAACACATACATATTCATAACAAAGATGAGATTTTGATTAGGTACCCAAAAATGTACTTACCAAAAAATATCAATACAATATAACGAAGGATTTTACTGATTTCTAATTACCAAATCAAAATCCCTGACTAATATTACATATAAAACCATGATATTAACAACAATGGTATGATAGCAAAAGTGCAGATTTGGTCCAAGTTCGCGCATACGCCACTTGCTTACCAGTTACCCGTGTCCCGTATTTTCATATTATCATTAAATAATTATTACTATATACAGTGTGTATACTGCACTACTTCACATGCTTACCAAAGGATCTGGCCGTCAAAAAGTTACGATCGTACCTTGTTTTTATATCACGTGTAAAACATTTAAATACAATTTAAAATTGTAGATATTTATGATGTTTACCTAAATTAATTTATTATAACAATAACACCTTATAGGTAGTAGGTACAAAAAAACAAATAGATACTAATCATAATATGGTGATTGTTTTATGTACCATTTACGTAACTTATATGTAAGTATAAATTATAATACGCTCAATATTTACGTAATTGTGATACATAACACAGCGTACAAAAAAATTAAATGCACTGAATGAATACACTGATTTCACGGCAACCAATAATTATTATTATAATAATTTTAAAACCCATGGCAACCACTTATAAACAAAAATTTCCACCTTAAATCTCTAATTCTCTGTTTGAGCACATCCTCTGGTTGGACCTAGGGGGGTGATTTGTAGCTTATGTGTTATTCTGATGTATACGCTATATATTATTGTAAAGTTTCATTAAAATCAAAATTCAGTATAAATAAATGTATAAACGTTTACAGTTAAAAGATGTTTTATAATAATTGTACCTATGTACAATTTATTTTAAATTAAAAAAAAAATAAGTATAAATAATACTATTTTTTTTAAATAGAAAACATTAAATAAGGTAAATAAAAAATACGATCAAAATTAAATTTTTTGAAATTGGAATGGCACTGATCCAGGTCCCATGAAATATTTTGCGAAGTCTCTAACTATCTGTACCTTGAGTACGAGCACCAGTACCACGAACTTCAATATCATCCAACATATTGGTCTCTGTATCTTCGTTGTTGAAGCCATCCCTTCTTCGAACAAAGTTGTGTAAAACACAACACGATTTAATTATTTCGTCCACAAAATCAGGCTCAACTTGTATTGGTGTATGTAAGACACGCCATTTATTAGCCAGAACACCAAAGGTACATTCTACCGTCCTTCTTGCCCTTGATAGCCTATAGTTGAATACCCGTTTAGTATCATTAAGACCACGTCCTGGGTATGGTCTTAATAAGTTCGAGTGTAAGGCGAATGCCTCGTCTCCGATAAATACAAAAGGCTGAGGATGTTCATTTGTGTTTGGTAAATTTGCTAATTCTGGTAGTTTGAGTTGATTTGAATAAAGTTTTTTTCCAAAACAACTCTCTTTAAATACATTTGAATCACCCTCTTTCCCATAGGCACCAACATCAATTGCAATGAAACATAAGTTGGCATCAGCAATCGCCATCAACACAATCGAAAAGTACTTTTTGTAATTGAAGTATAATGAGCCTGAATTGTTTGGACCTTTACATCGAATATGCTTACCATCTATTGCCCCTAAGCAATTTGGAAAATTAGTCTTATCATAAAAAGTATTTGCAATTTCGACCCATCTTTCTGTTGAAGGCTCTGGCATTTCTTTCGGTTGTAAAACCATCCATAAAATCGTACATGTCTCTTTTACGATTTCCCCAATAGTACTCCGAGCAATGTAAAAATCAAATTGTAATGCACCAAAACTTGTGCCAGTAGATAAAAACCTTAAATTAAAAACAAATTTTTATAGTTACTATTTTAGGTTATGACTGTTTTTTTTATTATAAATCACCGACCTAATTATTGCAGTTTATTATTATCTACCTACTATTAATACCTAAAATTATAACTATTTCATAATTCTTATGCATTTTTAATTTTGTTTTAATAACTTAATAGTAAAAGAAATGAAAAATACGTGGCGTCATATTCGTGATAATTACTCGAAATTTATCAACCAGGGAAAAAGTGGTGCTGAAGGAACTTCAAAAAAAAAATATGTATATGCTGATGCATTAAATTTTTTGCAACAAACAGTGAAAAAAAGAAAGTAAGTTTTACTTCAATTTTAAATACATTATAATAGACAAATTGCGTATTATAATATATAATAATTTTAGATTCTGAGCGGAGCTAAATAAATGTAATGATTTGACAATGCGTGTGTGTTTTTTTTTAAATTTCTACTTAAACGTTTCAAAATTGTCCTTAATCAGATTTACAAATGACCATTTATTTTCTTATTCATTTTTATTATTAATAAGTTGAATATTATAATATACAAAATAATTATTAAAATAATAACTAAAAATAATCTAAGAAATGTATTTGTATCATATTAATAAATTATTATTATTATTAGGACGACAAGTAATATTGTGGATGGTGCAGAAAATGAAGTCGATGAAATTTTTCACAACACACATGATGAGTCGGTCATAGAAGATGCTGATAACGAAATTAATATGAATATCTCTGATTTGCCTGGTCCGTCTGCGTCTCAATATGAAAAAACAAACTTTCAAAGTAAAAAAAAAAAATTGCTGAGACTCCTTTCCAATCGAAATTGTTGCGTATGCTAGAAAAATCAGAAGATGTAGATCCTGATGTGGCACTTTTAATGGGTTTTTTAAATCACGTAAGAAAATTAACAGAAGAGCAAAAACTAGATTTTCAATCACACGTAATTAATTTTTTCAAATCTCTTTCTAAAACAGTACAACAACCACACAATTTCCAAAATCCTGTTCACACATCAAACTCAAACAATCCTGTACCAGACCTCTCTAATCATAGTATCCATAGTATAAATCCTTTACAATCCGAAGTTCCATATAGTTTTCAAACAAATTATCCCGATAGTCTCAACCCTACAGTATCCACTTCATTTACCACATATCATCCATCAGATATTTATCAGCAAATTTCTACTACACCAACATCCTCAACATTGTCAACAATACCACCTATATTTAATCCTTATTTACTTCCTGGCTCCCATACAGATACACATCCTTATAAAAATAATAATGATAAATGATTATTATTTAAATAAATATTAATAATTTATAAATTGTATTATCTTTTATTATACCGGGTAGGTTAAGTTGAAAACTAATTTATTTTATTTTACATTTATTGCTGTACCAAGTAGGTACTTATAAAAAGTGTTAACTATCTTTATTTTTTACAAATGTTAATTGTTTTTGCATTATTAAAATTTAAACTATTATGATTCTATGATTATTTAAATAAACTTGAATGTTTTAATCTAAAATATTTAAATATATTTTTTAATTATATGTACCTAATCAGTGTCGGCCACTCGGCCTTGCACACCAAAGACCCCTGGAGCATTTATTTTTAAGGATCCCATACTTAAAAAAGTCGCTCTGCTGTACAGTAGGTTACTTTTGGAATACTTTTCTTAAATTACTTAACAAGATTGGCTTGTAACCTTGATATCGGGTGTAGTGCTGAACAAATATTGATTTTATATTTTAATGTACCTATTTAAGTTTAGAAAATATGTAGTACCTATATGTATTAGGTATGTTATAGTTATAATATGTTATTTTCCCAGTTTGAATAAGAAAAAAATATTTAAATATCACTTACCTCAGTGTCACTGTCAAACGCTCTTCCGCCGAAATTGCATTTCGAAAATATGTATTTTTTTTGGTAATATATTCACGTATATATTCCAAAAGTTCATCAAACGATGTTATGGACATCCGATAATACTCAAAAAATTTATCTGGATGTTTTCTTAGATTTTCAAAAAATAATGAAAATCTTTGTGATTTTTCACGATTTACATTTAATGGATGAACTCAAAATCCACGTGCAAACAAATGATCATTTGCAATACTACAACTGAATAACTACATCATGTTTATCAGGTGTATAGGTCGAAATTTAGGTGGAAAGGGTAACCGTTTACGCGGAAAAACCGCAATAGTGTGGCGACAATGACCAGTCCGGTTTATAATGAACGTTTTCACCGGTCCGGTGAAACCGGAGTAGTGTGGCTGGGCCCTTATAATTTAGCAATATCAGAGCGGCCTTTATATTAATTACTCATTATATAAATTGTATTTAATTTTTATGCTGTTGTATCTAACCATATTTTTTTTTCGTGCCAAAATTGTATTAACCATTGTTAACATAATGTCACCAAAAAAAATTCGCGCCATCCAAAAGAAAGGAGCCCGATCGGGTAAGATTTCTTTAAAAAAAAAAAATGAAAGAAGTTCGTAATGGGGTTCGTAAGGATGTGCAGTAAGTACTTTTAAATATAAGCTTCAAAATAAAAATACATTATTTCATGTCCAATTTTGTGACTTTTTGTAAGTAAAATATGTTATTATGTAGAACATAATAATATGTTAAATTACTATACAGGTATATATATAATAGTTTTATTATTTTATGAATATTACTTGATTTATAGCATATGTTCATATATTTTATAGTGATGTGAGTCTCGTATAAATTTGCAAAAAATTTACGATTTACATTTTTTTACCGTTCAAAAAGTTGAGTGATCACTTTATTTGTATACTTTTATATTTTTATCGAGATTTTAGAATTATAATAAAAATCAATATTTTATAAAATTATATTGATCGATATTATGTTTTTAATTTGTAACATTTTATTAATTATTTTTATTTAAACACATAATAGAAAACTATAATTATTAATTATTATTTTTAATAAAGGGATTAAATACTAATGCTTTATTTTATATTTGTCTTGCCTTCTTTACATAATATTGTAAAAAAAATTAAATAGGTACACTATAAATTGAATTTTAATAAAAATTTACTAATTTTACCGTAATTTTGGTAAATTTAACCGGAAAATGACTCGATAAATTACCAAAAAATTTTTTTACGTAAAATACTCATCATTTATATTTTATAATACAAAATAAAATAATATATTATGTAAGGTATTATTATTACTTACTTTTTTCCTATTTATATCAACAATGTAGGTATCTGCTATTTAATTGTAATAAAATATTTTTACAGTGTATTACCACTATTGGCACAATTACCTAATGATTAAAAATTAAATTATATTTTTGTATTGCATATATTTGCTATATAATATACATCTTATACTTTTTGTTTATAAAAATTTAAATAAAATTAATAATTAATTATTACTGCAAAATTAAAATCAAGTACCTATTTATGTTTGTATTCAATTTTTTAATTACTTGACTGGTGTATGTAACAGGCTACCTACTGGCTACCTCTAAGGGGCGCGGGAAAAATTTATTTTTAGGGCGCCAACTATAATTTTATATATCCACTTCGCGATTATATCATATTTCGTAAAAATTTGAAGTTTCAAACGCTTATAAAAAAAATTGTGCCTATGTATTTTATGTAATTTTATCGACATTTATAAAAAAAACAAACAAAAAAAGTCGAATATTTCAATAGCCTATAATATATGTAAAAATTAACGAAATATTTTGAAAAAAAAATACCGTGAAGAAAATGTCACAATAAACAACTGGTGGAAGTTTTGAATTTCTACGGCTTATACTTTTTGAATAAAAATAAACATCGAAAATTTTTGTCCGGTAGAATTTTTTTTACAGATATTCAAAGAAAAACTTATGGAAAATTTGGTACCAAATTTTCAAATCTTAGGTATAAATACTTAAAATTTTATGAATATTCAACAACAAAATAACTTCAAATTTTCGCGATTTTAACATATTTGAATAATGTAAATAAGCTAATTGTAAATAGTATTAATTTATAAATTGTATATAGAATTCAAACTACAAGGTAACAAGTAAAGTTCAGTTATAAAGGCTGATTCCTAGGAGTCATGTACTATGTAAAAACAATTTACAATAATGTACACTAAGCTTTTATCTATGAATATATTATACAAGTACAAGGGCCCCATAACATTTTTTAAACTAGTGCCCTACAAAACCTAGTTGCGGCACTGTAATGTAGTTACTCAAATCAGTCTAATCTAATAATTGTAATAAATTATACATTTATAAATAATTAGTTATTACGGTTAAATAATAATTTATGCAAAGTTAAAAAAAAATATACAAAAAATGGTATTCAAAAGTGACTATATGTTATGAAATAATTTTTCAACATTTTTTTTTGATTTTATATTTATTTAGAAATGATTAATTTATTTAATTAATGAATTAAATAATGTAATTCCGTCTTCTTATGCAGAAAATATGATTTTGAATTATAACTCAACAATTGTTTCCAATAAGTATGCATATTTGTATTTTCTTTAGATTATATTTTAATCTATCAAATTTTTTTTAATGCAGTGTTTTAGTACACGATTTAAATCTTGATGAAACGTCTGTATCGTCTGTAGGAATACATTATCATCGGATATAAAGTAAATATTAAAACCAAGTTAAATTATGAATATATCGAATAACTTTGTTATTTTATGAAGTAATTTAGATGCAACATTGATTTGTCCTGAATATAAGGCCTCATGTTCTCGATTAGAGTGAGCAAAGATTTAATACTATTTTTCTTATAAGTACCTAAGGTTTTATTTTAATATCTATTACTTTTTTTTATTTAGTAACACTAATACAACATCCATTAATTCGGATAATTATGAACATTTGACTAAAATTCAGTCCGTCAGTGATGATTCATATATAAACGTTACCGAGTATGAGTTCACATTAATTATAGTTACCTATTGTTATTATTTTTTATTTATTTATTTGTATTTGTTTTAACTATAAACTTAGACCTTTAACTGGGCGAAGAATTGTTGATATTTTATATTTTATTAATCAAATACAAACAATGGTACACGATGGTGGTTTCGATTGCTCATTTATGAACATGGAGTTTCAATCCGAAAAAATAATGGGCCATCAGTCAATTTTAACATTTAAGTGTAAAATTTGTAACATTGAAAATAAAATTTACACCGAAAATCCAAAGACGGAAAAATGTCCCGTAAACAAAGCTGCTGTGCATGCTTGTCAAGCAATTGGTATTGGTTACACACAGTTATCAGAACTTATGGCATTTCTTGAAATTCCTACAGTATCAGAAACAAGCTATATAAAAATTCAAGAAGGAGTAGCAGATACTGCCCATGACACAGCGTGGGATGAGATGAAACGAGCGGGTGAAGAAGAAAAACAAATTGCACTAGAGTGTGGCGAAGTGGATGTAGATGGTATACCAATTATAACTGTTGTTGCAGATGGCCAATGGTCAAAAAGTAGCTACAGAACAAAATACGATGCGTTATCTGGTGCAGTAAGTTACATATACAGACAATAATAATAATTTTACATTTTTACACATACAAAAATAAACATATTAAATATAGTAAGCATTTAGGTAAGTACATAAATTTAGATTTTTCTTGTATCAAATTACTTATAGGCAACGATAATAGGATTTAAAACAAAAAAAGTTCTTTTTATCGGAATACGGAATAAGTATTGTACTATATGCCAAAGATCGAAAAATAGTAATCAAGTCATTGTTTCTGAACACAAATGTTTTCTTAATTGGCATAAATCTTCAACTAGTATGGAAGCGGATGGTGTGCTCGAGGGTTTTAGCAAAAGCATAGAAATGCATGGGCTGAAGTATAATTGTTTAATTGGTAAAATCAAAATAAATCTTAAACAATTTATAATAACTAATAATTTCTATAACTATTTGTATACAAAAATTTAATAGGCGACGGGGACAGTAGTGTCACAAAACGTTTGAATGAATTTCAACCGTATGGCCCAAATTTTCATATTCGTAAAATAGAGTGCCGAAATCATATTATGCGGAATTATGCTACTAAACTTACAGCACTAGCCAGAAACACAAAATTTCCACTCCGAATACGTAAATTTATTTTATGAAATATTTTGCGGTTTAGAGGAGACGTGACAAAGTCTGTTTTACACTGGAAAAATGAAATTGGTATCACTAAATTACAAAAAATTAAAGGTATTAGTGTATTTCTAATATATATATATATTTAGGTACCTTCTTATAATTTTTGAATGCTTGTAACTAAACATTATATATTTTTTTAAAAAAAAACGTTATTTGTATTGTAATAAATTAACCAAACAAATCAATAAAATAATTCATACATAGGTAATTCAAAAATAAAATATAGTAAAATTAATTGTATTTTCATATTGTAGGTATACAAAAAGATATTGCGAATGCACCATCGACTTGGCCAACATATAAATTGTAGTTCTTATTTTCGTGACGGGTCGAAAAATAACGAACAAAACTTGGTTCCCGAGGCTGAAACCTCTGGAATAATGTATGAAATAAAAAATTATATATCGCGGCTTCTATCTAACGCAGCTAGTTTGTTAGAGAACAAAAATAATAATATATGCGAACAGTTCAATGCTTTAATAAACAAGTTCGTAGCAGGTAAAAGATTGAATTTCTCGGGAAAAGGTAGTACAACAAGAGTGGAGGCAGCTGTTGTATCTTTTAATTCAAAGCAATATTTAAGAACAATTCACAAAACGATAACTAACTGTAGTCCAGGTAAACTAAATTATTAATTTATTATTTAATTGGTATTGATTTATGATATGATAACTATTAACTGGTATTATTTAGTACAATATACTTTTAATCATAAATATTTAAGGTAAATTTGGAAAGCGATTTCTTCTAAATTACGATCGAAAAACAGCCAACACAATGAAAAAGGAGGATATTATTTCCAGAAATTAGAAAAAATAAAACTAAACGTTCAGATGGACCAGATGCAGATTACGGCATGGCTGAACCTCTTATTGATTCGTATTCTCAAAAAGAGATTGAAGAAAAAAAAACAAATTTCCTGGAAACATTAAGTCGGTCTAATTTTTCACAAATTGAAAAAGATACGAGAGGACAAAGTAACACTCAAATTTGGTTCAAAGAACGAAAAACACGTCTTCCAGCTTCCAGATACGGTCAAATTTGCAAAATGCGATCTAATACAAGCTGTAAAAATACGGTATATAATATTTTATATGGAACAGAACCTTACACAAAATCTTTAGAATATGGAAGAAATATGGAGGCAAACGCTCGTCAAAAATTTGAAAAAATTACTACTAAAAAAGTGATTGAATGTGGCTTAGTTATTGATCCTGAAATTCCATTCCTAGCAGCAAGTCAAGGTATTTTTTTTTAGTGAACATGCAATAATGTATAAATTAAATTAATTGTTAAATTATATTTTTTCATTTTACATAATTTACGATCTATCAACAAATTTGTATACTTTCAGATAGGTTGATTGGAAAAGACGCTTTGATTGAAATCAAGTGTCCATATTCAGCCCAGAATACAGAAAATGCAATCGATGCCATAAATAATAAACAGGTGTTACTATGATTTGTAATTTATATTAATTTATTACCTAAAACTATAAGTTATTAACAAAATATAACAAATTATTAACCATTATTATTTTTAAAAAATACTTCATTGTCTTATTTGTAATTTAATAAAATTACAGTTGAAATACTGCAAAGTTGTAGACAACAAAGTTATTTTAAAAAGAGACCACTCGTAACTACGAGCAACTTGTCGACAGAAATGTTTTTTCATAGTATATACAAAAAAAATGGATTAATATCGAAAAAATCGAATATGATAATAACTTTTGGATGGATAAAATGGAGAAACAATTGAAAATGTAATAACTATTTTTATTAAATAGCTAATATATATTGTTATTTTCATATTTTTAAATCTAATTAATCTAAATATCTAATCGAATTTTAAAATATCTCATGTAACATATATTATTTATTATGTAATAGGTTTTATTTGGAATGTTTGTTGCCGGAAATAATCAATTCTCAATTTCCGAAACGTATGTTAAAATCAGATATACTAGAACCAGACCGAATATTGGAGAAAATTAAAATAAAAAAAAAATAATGTGTTGTTTTTTGTGTGCATTATTATCGGAGAACCAAAAAATAATATTATTAAAACATTAAAACGAATTATTGTATAATATATTTAGTATGTTTGGTAATTATATGAATTAGTAATAATTAAGAACGGACAAATTTTAGAAATATACAGAAAGTAAGCTGGTAGCATTCAGGATTATTTCGTCACTATAAAATATGTAAATGCTGTTCTATAAAAGTTGTTGTACTTTATTTATAGGTACACATATTAAATTAAATAACAACTAGTAAGTTGTGACTAGTGAATGCAAAGCCAGGATTCAGGAGCGAGTGTGGCGTGTGCTTAGAAATAAATTTGCGAAATAAAAATATTATAAGAAACGGTCTACTGCATTGACACGAAACGTTCTGAACGGCGGTCCGTGAACAATAATGTAGGTACCTCTCACGCGATTACAAGTTGTAAAAAAAAAGTTTACTCCCTACTTTATAGACCTAATATAACGACTAAAGAAGTGACATATGGTATTGAAATGGAACGTCAAGCCAGAAAAAAGTATGAAGAATTATATGGTGTTTCAGTTGAAGCATATGGATTGTTTGCTGACATAGAATTCCCTATTTGCCTAATTGCTACATAGTGTACCTACACATATTATTACAAAAATACAAAATTATAGCTTTAACATTCAAAATATACTCAATATAAAACTAATATAGTACTATTACGCAATAAATACAATTCGCGTAAGTATGCGCGAATATTAAAAATATTACGTTGGCAATGCGGCATAATGTACGTGTAACGTGTATGCATTTTATATTTACGCGACCTGCCACAAACGAAGGTTGAGAAAATAATAAACATTGCTCCCGAATGAGCACAATCGTCGGCCGGCCGCCGACGACGAGTAGTGGGTGCGGATTAAACGTCGCGTGCTTGCGCATCGCGAAAACACCTAACTGCGTGTTCTCTCGGTCGTTGTTTACGTTTCGCTTTCGGTGTGGCGTCCTCTTAAGAGGACGTGTCACCCAAAGCTGTACGCATGCAACGACCGAGAGGATGCGCTGTTAGGTGTTTTCACGATCCGCAAGCGCGCGGCGTTTAAGTCACGCCTACTATTCGCAACCGGCCGACGGCGGCGACGAGTGCTCGTTCGGGACTTCGGGAGCGCCGTTTATTTGTCTATGAACGTTCGTCCAGTACCATTCGTATCATTATATAATTCATTATACGCAAATGCCGCCGTAATATTTTCAATACCCTCGCGTACCTACGAACTACAGATTATAAATTAAGATACTGTTTACTTAAATTTATGTCCCAACATGTAGACCGTAGAAACTGTATTATAACATAGCTTGATTTGAAGTTATTGAATTATTACTTATTTAAATATAATACTTATAGTAAAATCTAATAAATGGTAAATAAAATAAATACAGATTTAAGAATGCATAGAGCTGGTTTATCTAGTAGTTTATTATTAGATTTTGCTGCCTTCAAAGTTGTCGGCCGTGATATAATATTGTTCTGGACGGGTGTACGTAATGAGCTGTTGTTTTTATTAGAGGACGTGGACTTTGGTTGCGTCGGCATATTCGACGCCGGTGTAGATAACGACCTGCGGTCTGTAATTTAATTGCGCCGATAAGGCCGCTTAGATAACGGGCGGGCGGACGTACAGCGCACTGCCACCCGAATTAGATATAATTAAATTTGTCACCAGAATTGAGATTTTCGTTGGTCCTCTGGTCCGACAGAAGAAATAAACAGACGCAAGAAAGCGTGTTTAGTTTGGGACGATTTTCGGTTTTAAACGAAGAAAAACGACTGAGTTAAACGTGCGGAATAAGATAAAGTACACGGAGCTACTCGGACGGCTGGCATGGCGCGACTGATTCCTTAAATTTAAAAATCGATATATAATTTATTTAATAACTAAAACAAAATATCACGAAAAACCTACTTATGAAATGCTTTTTGAAATTTTAAAAAAATTAAAGGAATTTTGCATTACGCATAAATTAAATAATTTAGCTATGCCACGAATTGCGTGTGGTTTAGACAAATTAAATTGGCGAATAATTTCTAATATGATAAAATTTATTTTTAATGACACGGATATCAAAATAAGTGTCGCAATACATGATCCGAATACAAATATTGTTTCGTTAATTGAACCAGTTAATATAAAAATCCTGCAAGCACAGGACAATTATTTAAAAAATATAATAACTGCTTTAGAAAACCCCGAATTAATTGATATAAAATGGCAAAAAAACGCAAAATCTTATATTTTACATAATAAAAACGGATTGATTTACTATAAACAAATAATTAAAGGCGTACCTAAGTTAGTACTAGCGATTCCAATAGTACTTTCCAAAGAAGTAATAAATCATTTTCATGATAATAAAATGTCAGGAGCACACTTAGGAGTTCACAAAGTTTATAATAAAATTAGAATTAGATACCATTGGCCGTTGATGCACAAACAAATAAAAGCATATGTTACTTCCTGTATTCATTGTCAGAAACGTAAACCTGATAAATCAGCACAGGTATAGGAAAAATGCGTACGTACCCAGTAGAAAGTGGAATACCCTTTTCGGATGTAACAATCGATTATGTTGGTCCCTTAATGATTTCGAGAGGATTCAAATAGTAGCGACCTGTAGAGTAACAAAATATTGCGTAGAAAAAGCTTGTAGAAATGCAGATGCTAAAACTACAACCGCATTTTTATTAGATTTAATTCTGTCTTATGGAGCTATGAAAGTAGTTAGATCAGACAATGGTACCGGCCATTTCACTGCCAAAGTAATTTCCGACATGTTAACTATTTTAAATATTAAGAAAACAGAAGGTATTGCATATAGACCAACAAGTCAAGGAGGGGTAGAAAAACAAAATCAGGTAATAGTTGATATGATAGCCCCGTACATGCAAGATAATGAAAAATGGTCCGATGTATTAAAAATAGTATTACACGCATATAATTCAGCAATACATTATTCGACATTATATTCTCCATTTTATTTACTTCACGGTTACGAACCTAGTTCAATTTTTGACATTGCAGTAATCCCTTCTTCATTAGAGCACTCAGTTATCGAAGAATTAAATAAATTACAGAGAGTTCGTGACACTATACCGGAGATATTAAAAAAAGCTTTTGAGAATCAAAAAATAAATATAGATAAAAATAAATCAGACATAGATTTTAAAGTAGGCGAACGGTCTTAGTAAAAATACCAGTACGTAAACATAAATTTTCCGATAGATATGATGGACCATATCCTATAAAAAAGAAATTAAATACAAATTCATATTTAATAAAATTACCTAAGAATGGTAAATTAGTAGATGTGCCAATTCATGTACAACAAATAAAAAAATGTATTGACAAAAGACACCCAACGCATAGAACGTATTATTATTCATAAAAAAAAAAAAAAAGAAACCCGATATCAGCATAAAATAAGACGATTTCATTATTATACCTATATTGTATTATTGCATATTACATATACAGATTAGTCTCACGACAACCGTCAATCGAACACTTGTTCTTACATTTTCAGTATGTGAATATCTTATAAAAAAAAAATATTTAAAATTATATGTTAAATTTCTTTCATTCTTATAGTAATATAACATTTTATTGCAAATACTTAATACAAGAAGAAAACTGTGAGTATTAAAACATCGTACATCAATCATATAATTTTATTACAATCTATAACAATTTAATAACATAATCAACTACTTAAATAATTATTTACAAGATAAGGAAGATAGATCATCCTTGTGCACTGAATTAAGCTCAGTTTTAGACTACATACCAGAGGTTTCGGAAATACTGTATTATATAAAAAATAAAAAAATAAAAAATAAAAAAAAAGAAACCCACTTTCATAAAAATAACGTAATTACACAAAGTAAACATGTTTTCCAACTTCATGAGAATGATTTTTATTTCTTTAATACTTTTCATGGTAGAAACAGCTGGCATTAATAAATACACGGATCATAAAATAGAAAATTCAGGAATTTACTATGAGTACATTTCAAAAATTAAGTTAACCACAGATACTTTTAAATTAATAACCCTCGTTAACACCACAAACTATGAAATTAAATATAATGATTTAATGGAAATAAATAATAAAACAATGACATTTTGTAGAGCTAAATCCATAGGAAACGTTTCTGAAATTTATCAACAGTTTAGCGGTCTGATAAACAACACTATTGCACAACTAAATAAAAGATTTAATACTTATAATAATCTTAAAACACATAGAATATCCAAAAGAGGTTTAGTTAATGTAATAGGTTCTTTTCAAAAATGGGCCTTTGGAATATTAAACGAGGACGATTTAATCGAAATTGATGAAAAGATAAAATCTCACTCAGGACAAAATAAAAAAAAACATTAGACCTAATTAATATTCAAACAAGAATAGTTCACTCAACACTAAATAATTTTAACAACATAACTAAAACAATAAACGAGAATACCATAAAATTAAAAACAACGTTAGACCAGTTGATATGTGACGTTAATAATAGCATTCAGAATATACAAACGATAGATATTTCGCAGACATTAACACAACATTTAATATTTTTCAATTTAATATTAACCGAATTTAATCAGGAAACTGAGGAACTCATTGAGTAAATAATCTGGGGCCAAAATGGACAACTACATCCTTCAATAGTTAGTCCAAATACAATAATAAATCAGCTAAAAGAAATCGAAAAAATACTTCCTAAGCAGTTATCCATCCCACAAAGCCCAGAAAGAATAAATAATTTTCTTGATTTTTCAAAACTACTGACTATTTCCTTAAACTTTATGGACACGTATTTAATTTATACTATACATATCCCTCTGTGTGAGTTAGATAGTTATGTTATATATCACATAACACCATTTCCAGTACCCATAAAAAATAAAAATTATATTTTTATTAAACCATCGAACGAGTATTTGGCAATAAGTCAGGACAATGAAAAATTCGTAATTTTTACGCACCAAGATTATTTGATGTGGGTACTCTTTAGATATAACAATATGTAACCCACATAATATAATAATCAGAAACACTTGTGAAGTTCAATTATTCATTGACCCTTTAAATTTACCAGTTTCTTGTGACGTAAGACACATAAAAACTTCAATAACATTTTATAAAAAACTAATCTTAAAAAATTCTTGGATATATGCATCAGATCAATTAAATACTGTAACATTAGTATGCCCAGATAATAGTAAAATACTAAAACTATTTGGAACAGGGATCCTATCAATAAACGAAGCTTGTTATGTAACAACCCCTACAACAATTTTAAAACCAAATAATTGTTATGCTAATATGACGACAAATATAGACTTTGTACCACAATTTCACTTAACAAATGTGTCTACAAACTTAATAAATAAAATTAATAAAATACAAGAACCACCAATAACTCTACCGGTATTAAAGACGATAGACAACCAATTATCTGATATATCAAAATCTTCTAATTCATTAGACTCTGTAATAAACATGTTAGAAATACAAGAAGAAAGTTTAAGAAAGGAAACATATTTAACTACTCATAATTATTCATTATACGCTGTAATAATAATTGTAGGGTATATAGTTATACACATTATCATAAAATATATCAAAAATAAATGCAGAAGTTATTTTTTAGAAACCGCAACAACCCAACCAATACGTAGACGTCAAAAAAGTTATTTAGATGCACCAGTTTAAAAATAAAAAAAAAATTTATAAAAATATTAGAAATAAATGCAGAATGTACTTTTAGGGGCTACACTAGCCCAAACATTACAAATACGTCAAGTAAATCATTTAGTGGCACTCGTTTAAAGAATAAATAATTACATAATATTTAAATGATACAATAATAATATAATACATAATATATTCTACAATAATCTATGTATAATGAAAGTAAAATCAAAAAAAAAACTTAATGTGCAAGAGATGCGTTGTTTGTGTGTCCTTATTTATACGAAGACATACTCGTATAATTTATAAACTTACTTAAAAGTTTTTCAAATTATTCAAAAATTGTTATGACTTCATTAAAAGTATAATAAGTATCAGAGTTTAGGAACAACTAGAGTTATAACAAATCAATTTTTATTATGTTCAAAAAAATTATTTGTTAGATATTTAAATTCTAGAAAGAGACCTTGTGAGTCGGCATTTCATAATGTGTCCACATTGACCCCACCTAGAACAATCTCTTATCAAGTATTTCAAACATGGATAGATATGAAAATTGAGAAAAATATATCTTAATGACCTAAACTATATACATTCAAAAAATATATTTTTGAAAGACATAATTTTTATGATAAAGTAGGTAAAAATTTTTTTTACTACTAGCAGTTATACCGAAAAAGGCAAAGTATTAGCCAATTTATGAATAATTTTATTCTTATAAATACTTACGTTTAAAATATGAAAACCAAGTATTTAAACGATTAAATTAACGAATAAAGCGCAAATTTTGATACAGAACGAAATAGGTATACTATATTATTTTAATTATACTTATTTTAAATGAAACTATATACATAATCTATTACTTTCATTAAAGGAATTATGGTCAAGACAAAAAATGAGATTTACATTATCGATAATTATGAGGCACACATCATACCACTTCGACGTTGTTTTAGATACTAAATTAAATTAAATTTGAATAGGATTTCAAAGTATTTTTCATTACCTATAACAAACAAAGAGACTATTTGTTACTTTTGTTCCCTGTTTCCAATTGGATATGACATAGTACAAAACGTATGCGTGGGTTATTGATGAATGAATGATGACGATGTTAATAATATTTTTGATATAATAAATTATACACTGTATACTAATCATAGATGATTTCAGAATAAGTAGCAAAACAAGAGCAATAATTTACGATGTTATGAATGACATTCTTAAACAGCTGTTTTAACGGCTATACAGTAATGACGTTTTCTTTATACTTTTATTATATACTTAATATTTTTTTTTTACTAACAAATAGTTTTAGTTTATTATGGCGTTATGTAAACCTGAGAACCACTATTGTTCTAAACATTGTAAACCCAAATCTATAGTTATAATTTTAAGGCATGTCTACTTTGTCACAAAATAATCTGTAAACTTATCCAATTTTTGGCAACGTTTTTCATTGGATAGGTAAGCAATAATGAATAAATACAATTTTTATAATGTATAATTTTTATTTTATGTGTATAATCTATATGTATAGTATATAGTATATATTATACATGTAATTATATTTTTTTTTTTTTTTTTTATTATTTATTTTACTTCTTTTCAAAAAATAACGTAATAATGACATGACCACCAAAAGTAAATTAAATTTAAATGAGTAAAATATAACCGTGTTATATCCTGAGAAGATTAAATGAGGGATTTTCCGACAAGGCTATATCCACCGAGAAGTACGGAATAGATGTTCATCGTCGAAAATAACCAAGGTATAATCACGTGTTTACTAACATACCTTGATTACAGTTTGATTAAGTTTTTTATTTTAATTTTTTTCAATTTAAAATCTGAGGGCAGATTTTAAGTGGCGAGGGGGGTAACTGTAACGGTTCGCAGTTTACTGACTCGTCATTTATGTCGCACTCGGCGAATTTGCTTAGGTAAACAGAAAACAGGAACGTAGAGTACGAGCCTATATATTATTGGCATAGCAGCCAGTCGAGTTTTGATCCGTGAAATAGAGACTATACATCAGTCTACTATAGTCATATTTACAATATTATTAAACGTAATTAATTGATTAACTTTAAGTATATAATAACGTACCTAATAGTTAAATTATAATAATTCAGTATTGTTCAACTCGTACTCCGCTACTCCTGTTATCTTCAATATACTACCCTTAAGAACAGGGTTACTCAGGTGATAGTGTATTTTATTGGTTATAATATTATAATTACTTTAGTCTTGAATAAAACATTGTATTCGTTGCTATATCGTGTTAATTGTGTTAGTTTATGAACGCAGGTCATAAGTTTCTAGGACCTGTAAAATATAACTCAGAAAACTTTATTTATATCAATTCAACAACCCGGATCTAAGGACCGGTTCGTGTAGTGGGAATAGCCAACCAACTACTCCTTAACTGGATGGAGTTAGGTATAAATATCGACAGCCACTGGGTTTGACAAACCGAGGAGGTGTGTTGCATGTGTATATTGTAAAATTATTTTAGGTACCTACCTATAATAATGATAGGTAAGTAGGTACATAGAACTTATAGCTACTTGATTTATTTTTTAAGTAAAGCCAATAAAATGATATAATAATCACTCACCCATTAAATTATTAAAAATATATTACCTAATAAACATTATTTCATATAAAATTAGAAAACTACCTAGTTGTAATTTAATATTACCTATCTAGCTATGAGTCCATCAAACATACAGTTAAGCAAATAATGTTTGAAAATAATAGTTACCTAGTAAAATAAAATATTAATCCAAGAACTTACTGAACGATTGCATTGTTATAAACAGTCCTAACTGAAACAGACATGTTTTCAGGATCAATGCCCCTTGCACCAATTGCTTCTCTTAGGAAAGGTACGTGTACATTTATATCTGCAGGTCTATGGTTGTGTCCATTCCGAATTCTTATCCTATTGTCATCTTGTGTACTCACCGATGCTGTACAAGGACAATACTCATGAAGCCTACTTTTTTGACGCTCACATACCAAGTATATGCGGTTGGCTGTGGCTTCGCGCTTATAGTACTTAAAACCTAAATTATAACCCAATCTGGGTATGACCTATGGTCAGAGTTTTAAAGGACGACGTACGACAGCACGAATAAAATCGGCAGAAGGTATGACCTATGGTCAGAGTTTTAAAGGACGACATGCGACAGCACGAATAAAATCGGCAGAAGATATGACCCAGTGGCGTAGCCGGAATTATGAAATGGGGGGTGTTTAAGTATAGATTAAAACCAAGTTTTTACAGTTTTCGTATATAAATAAATTTAGGATTTGGGACTTGACTTGTTGCACTAAAAACTATCGAAATATGCAGTCAAGATTTTCAAAATATGCTTAAATATATGTAGCTACATTTTTATATTATTTTTGAAAAATTCATAAAACATATTACAATTTTTATAATAAAAAACTAAAAAATAAGTAGGTACCTACCTATATAAACATGATAAAAATAATTTAAACTCGGGTATACAAATTTTAATATAGGTAGGTACCTATATTGATTAATGATTAATATGATGGACGGAGGATACTATTGCATGTTTTGGATATTTTTAAACTATTGTGAAATAAAACTTGATTTTTAAAAATGCTGGTATAAAATACTAGGTAATAAATGAGTACCTAATAATGAATAA